TGAAAAGGGGGAGTTGAGTCATCTCGCAGCCAGCCCCAGGTAGCAATCTGGGTGCAACTTTTAGAAAGGTAGCCTAAAAATATTCATCACCACTATGAATAAACCAATTATAGCATAGAAGAATTAAACAGTGAAATGTGAGTCCAACTAAGTTTGCAGACTGTGCAAACGACACATTTCCCTTGCACACCAGAGGATGAAGCAACTGAGTGCGGCAAGCAGAGGAAGTGCTCAAACAAGGCTGGCTTTCAGTTTTTTCTGTCCTTTTATGGGCACTCAGCTGGAATCAACTTAGTTCTTACGCTCACAGAAGGCCAGACGTGTGTGAGTCAGGCAGGCTGGCTAGTTCTTTCCCATGTCCTGATCAATGCTGGGCTATTATGACCCAGTAGAAAGAAGAAGGGGGTGGGGGTGCAATTGCTTTCCCTTGGTCTTATACCCTCTGTCATCTTCTAAATGGAACTCTTAAGTAGGGGAGTCAGAAGGATATGCGGCCACTGCCCTTCATTGAGGAGGCAATTCTGTTCACTAGATTAACTAAAAGGGTTGAAGTGTTTTCTCTAGTTAAAAGACCACAATTCCTTCCCTGAGAAAAGGACTATTCTGAAATTAATGCTCTGCCATATGCAGCTGTGTGCTTCCGAACAAGTCCATCAATGGCTAGACTGTAATTCAGCACTGTGAAAAACTTGACTTTCTTCTTCTCTACCAATTGTCCTGAGTCTGGTGGCTGCACATTCCCCATAGCAGACTCTCAAGGCCTACCCAACTCTGTGTTTTTTTAATTAATTGGTAACCAAGGCTGCTGCTGCTGCTTCTTCTTCTTCTTCTTTTGCTTATAAAGAATTCATGACAATGTTTAGTGTAGAAAAAAGTGCTCCCTTTTAAAAAAAAACCCACGATGCACACCAGTATCCTCAGAGGCAGGTTTTGCCATGTTTTAGCCAATTAAAACTATTTTATTTCTTAACTTTAGAAATAATTTTCTTTAAAGAGCGCAGGGGGTCTAGGAAGCCCGAGAAGATAGTTCCCCAAAAAAGAACGGGGGGGGGGGGGGGGGCAATAAAAAATGTGAACAAAAATTGGGGTTGCATTCTTGGGGACTTGCAAATAACATGAGGTTATTTTCAAGTCCCCAAGGATGGAACCCCAATTTTAGTTCACATTTTTTCTCCACATTTTCTCCACCTCTGCTCTAGCTTGAGTACTTAACTATTATAATGATACCATGTAAAAAACACTTTTACCACCAATATGCAACTTAATTTGATAATTTAATAAAAGACTTGTCTATACCAAAAACTATCATCACCTTAGATCAAACACTAACATTTACGAAACACTGTGCACAAAGTAGATGCACACAACAACATCCTGTGGAATCTTACTGATAGCAGACCCAAAATTAATAAGAACATCAGCCCTGGCCTTGCCTTACTCAACTGCTGAGAATGGCTGCCCCAACTGGCATAAATCTGCTCATGTGAAGCAGGTGATCATAGCACTGAATGAAACATATAGAATAATCACAAGACGTCTTACACCTACACCCGCTGATAGACTTTATAAGCTAGCTGGCACCCCAAATGTGCGATGGAAAGTTGTTACCAACTGTGAGAGAAATAAGGTTGATTACTGTGAAAACCACCCACTGCATGGCTATCGGCCTTCTCCCCGTAGACTTAAATCAAGAAAAAGTTTCATGAGAACCATCACTACTCCTAATGTTCTCCTAGAAACAGAAAGAATATCCCTCTGGCCAGCTAAACCTAGAAAGCCCAAATTGATCCCCCCCCCCCCCCAAATGAGGGTCCACCTCCAGAGACAAACAAAGAATGGACAACTTGGAAGTCCTTGACTCAGATGTGCTGTCGGGAGATCAAAAGACGACCTGGTTAAATGGCATTTCCTAGAAGAATTCTCCACCTTGTGCAATTCTGGGGCAGAACAAACAACTCAGAATCTGTATGCTTGCCAACAATGCCTTGCCTCATGCACAGAGGAAGAACTGTTTAAAGCTACAGACAATGCGGTCGCTGTTGCCCGTTTCTGGTCTAAAATTATTTAGCCATTGTGTTCCCTCTATTTTATCAGTTTTATACTTATTTATTTATGCAATGCTTTTGACATGAAATAAATAAACCAAAAACTATAAACATCCATTCTTATCAGTGGCTGCTTTGTAAAAACCAATACAAACAAGCATTAATTCTCTAAAAGAGTAACTATGCAAAAGACGTGACTTTACTCTTCAGAAGAACCAGTTGTTCAGGAACAAGACTGGGTTTTTGGTCAATATAGAAAGAAACTAGGGAATAAAATAGCACAGTAATTTGCTTTGTGAAAAACATACTGCCTGGCTACAGTACACAGTCAGTCTGTGCCCAGTTAAGTATGGATAGAAGTTTAAAACAGAGCATCCCAATTTGGAGCAGAGCAAATATAGAGCCTTTTAAGCTCAGATGCTATCCTCCCTCAAAGTATTCCTTATTTACTTTCAAGGTGCTATTTTCATAATTTGAGAAAGCAAACCCATAGGAAATAAAGCCCTTTCATTTCACTGTCATTTGTGGGCTGCAAGCGTTAAAATTAACCCAGCTGGAGGACTTGTTTACTCACACTGAAGATAATTGTATGTTTCTGGCATGTTATCGGAACTAGCTACACCTTCTCAGCTACTCAAAATAAGAAGACCTCACAGAGGTTTGTGGGAGAGCTCTCAGTATGTCTGCTTCAATCATAGACGCCCTTGGAGAAGGTCAAGCAGAAGTTCCAGGAGCTACCAAATGGTATATCAGGAAAACAACAATTACATTCTCAACTTTTTTGGTGAAAACTACATCAATTCAACATCTAACATGATTTCCAGAATGGTTGCCTATCTTATACTTAGAACTATCTGCTATAATTCTTATGCTGGCTTTGCACAAGGCAATCACTTCATTGACAAACTCATCATGTCAGGACTATGATCTATCCTCACATACAGAGAGATTCAACATAAAGCATGACAGATAGTAGTTGTAATTTCAATACAGGTTAGGTATCTCTTATCCAAATGCTTGGGACTAGAATTGATTTGGATTTTTAAAAAAGATTTTATAATTCCTGTATTTGCAAATACATATCTAATGAGGTATCTTGAAAACAGGGCATGGTATTTTGTGCATTAAACAAAGATTAAGTACATTGAACAATCAAAAAACAAAGCTGCCATTATCTCAGCCATCATACAAACAATGTTGGTTTTTGGAGTATTTGGAACTTTGAAATTCCAGACAAAGGAATCCTCAACCTGTAGTTCTATCTCAAATTCAGCACACACACACAAATGTATATACAGCAAAGCCTCAGATGCCCTATCGTGGCCAAGAGCCACCAGCTGACAAAGTGTTCTCTGAAAAATTATGTGTGAGAGCAATGTAATTAAAAGCAGAATTCTACTGCTTTTAATTTTAGTTAGAGAAAATTGGGCAGGGAATATGAAATGCTTTCCAATCCAAAGCTATGTGGTCATTTGAAATATTTTAATATGTTCTTAATGCTGTCCAGCAAGAAAAAAAAAGTTAATCTTTCCATGTATTTGCTAAGAGCACATTTTTAGATAAGATTTCAACATTAAAAAAAGTCTGTCCTCATAAAGCCTTGGTTTTCAGTATTTGACACAGAGGTTTCTGGGTCATTTTGTTAGGCTGTCTAAGACCTCCCCCTCCAAGACAATATCAAGGCACTTTTTTTGCTTTGTGTTTTCTTTCCAATGGAAGTCTCCCCAGATGACTGTTTAAAACAGAAGAATACTTAAGATTGTCTAATAAGAAACAACAATACTACCCATGGTGTGGGAAGGGGGTCAAATCAGGCAGTAAACAAGCTATATTCTAAGCTGGGAGAAAACTGCTTCCCTCTACTACATTTTTTTTTTGCACCTCCAGTTTCCCTGTTCCCTTATGCTGAAATAGCATTCTCTGTGTATTATACTGAAGAGAGATGGTCACAGCAGTGCTCTACTCCTGCAGATCAGCAGTTTTTATTCTTGTGTCTCCAATGAAAATGTGATAGGAATTATGCAATCCTGTTAGATTCCTGACTAATGGTTAGCACTGCTGGTAGTTGTAATCTGACATTTGGAAGATATGACTCCCCCTCCCCCAATTAACATGATCTTAAGTAGCAGGTCTAGAAAACCAGGCACAATAGTACTGGGTGACTGGCCTGACCCAAACAAAGGTCTACACATTAAGCCTGATCAAATTATGTGGGATGAGAACACGGGCATAGAAATATAATTTCCTTTACTGATTCAACTTCTTAGCTCTTTGTCAATGCTTACAGTGAACAGGTAATTCTACTCATTTATAGCTGAGATACAAGATAAATGTCACTATACATTCAAATATGTCATGCTCACTATGACAGAGGAATGGTACAAAACAAAAATCAGAGCACCTTAACTGAAAAGTGTTAAGGGGGGGGGGGGGGGAACAACTCTTGCATGTTCCAACCCTTTGTGCTGACTGTTGGAAGCAGCTACCAGATGTTATTCCCTCTGGGTATGAAACTTCCTGATTTTATCACCCCATGCTGCTTGATGTCTGCCTGACTGCTTCTTCATATTTATTTATTCACCTATTTACTGCAGTCTTTAGTACTTGCACATCCCTGCAGATAAGTACTGGGTGCTTTTAAAAAATATAACATTCCTCAGATGCTTTCTAGGTGCTTGGAGTTCTCATCCCTCCATTACTATATCATAAATGTCATCTGCTTGTAGAGTGGATGGTTGTCAGAATTTGTTAATTTCATTTCAGCATTGTTAATTTCATTTCCTCTAGCAATATGTTAGTCGTTTGCCTTTCTGAAAAGAAATTAACAGAGTTCTATTTTAAGAGTTGTTGAGTTCTTACTAACATTCTATCTGAGTGTTGTTTTGAGAAATCCAGTGAGAAAGAATCCAAAATTAATAAAATGGATAGCACACAAACAAACACTAGTAGCCTTACTTGACTCTGAAGCTCACTCTGCTGCTTAAGACGCAGATTTTCAGGAGTATCTGCCACCATGGTGAAGGACTGCTTCGGGTAGTGTCTGGAACAGAAACAAATGAGGCTGTGTTAATGGTGACCACTCTTAATCTAGTTTGGACAGTAATGAGTCACAGGATTCACAAAGCAAGGCAACATCCCTACAGAGCAGATTTATTGAAGGTCCTCCTCAGCCATACAAGAGATCTCTGTCTAACCAAAAGAATGAATATTTTCCATCTGTATTAGTTTATTTATTTATTTCAGGCATTTACATCCATCCCTTCTCACACACACCCCCGGGGGGGGGGGGCTCAGGGCGGCTCACAACTGGCAACCATTAGATGCCATACAAACAACAGTAATAAAATCACAATTGAAACATTCGTTGCTTTCAATATGTTTACGTCTGTGAGAAATTATTGAAAAATTCAAAGGAAAGTGCTGGCATTCCCTCTCTGACATCACAGAACTGTATCAGTTTCATTGTGCCAAAATCTATGTCAGTAGGCAAAGAGAATTTACGCACAGTTTCATGAATAGCATGACTGTTTGGAATAGTGACACTCACATTACCTCCCACAAACTGAAGCCTGTCATCTTTTCTAAAGAATAAAACTCCCTAAAATTTACTAATTTGCAAACTAAATAACTGAAATTTATCTACATTTAGAAGCCATTATTTATTGTCTATCTTTCAGCCAAATGAGACTTTGAGCCAAATAAAAGCCAGACCATTTAAGAAATAGTTATGTTTTGCCTTTGGTTAAGCTCAACCCTGATCCACGAATTCCAAATTTCCGTAACAACATAGTGTTTCCTTCACGGTCCAAAACAGGTAATTTAAGTGATTTCTGTAGTTCCATGACATTTTCAGTTTGTGACATTTTGAGATGCAGTGAAAGAAGTAGAAATCTGCAGGAAAGTTCTACATCACTAGCTTTGCTTGTATGAGCACAAAGTCTTGTATCTTTCGCCAGAGGTAAAGTTACTTTATATCTCATTTAGCAACTTTAGTACCAGGAAACCTAGAGCTTAAAGATTAGGCAAAGAGTATGCATTCTCATCTACCTCCTGCATAATTCTGAGGCTTGTAGTTTAGGGGAGGGGTTTTGAAATGCTGAGCCAGAGAGATCCTAGGTCTCACTAAACTACCAGCTCCAGAATTCTTCAGGAGGCAGCCATAGGATTTCAGATGGGTCTCTGTCTACTGTAAAGCTCTCCAGTGTTATAAGGCAAGCCCCAGGGTTCACTTGAATAAAGAGGACTGGGACAATCCAAAATGAGGCATACGATCAATATCCTCAGGATTTCAATCTTTACTACTGAAACAGGCAAATTTCTAGCCTTTATGCCTTTAGGGACAAAGATGAAAATGAGGCCAATGCCCAGTGAACCCATGACCACATGAATAGGAGTCCAACGGCTACACAGTAAACACTTCCATACTCTTCCCTCTAGCTGGCAAAAAGAGAAGAAACCAATGTTTGCACATCTGCGTAATTGCTTCCCTTTTTATTCTCCTCCTCTTTCAGCCCTTTGTAATATAAAAAATAACATGACTACTTTTTTGAGTAGTAACTGTACACAATTAAAATGATTTTAAAATATGGTATACATAGAACTGTTTAGCTCTAATGAAACAGGATCTTCTGAGTCTGAGAATCTTCTCTGCCCTTAGGCCACATCAGTGATGCAGGAAACCAGAATTGACAGCTAAGTCAATTCTGCCTTCTTTGAATCTGAAGATTCACTAAATTGACCCAAGAAGAATTTGCCTCCACTGATGAGATGACAACCTGCCCTTTTCACATTCTAGAAGCATAAAAAAAGCAGTAACAACGTAATACAAGGGTGGGAAGAACTCTGCCTACTATGATTTCAAAACTCCACACAGAACCCTACAACTTTTAAAGTCATCTGCACCCCCCCCCCCCACCACACATACAACCGTTCCTTGGTAAGTTATTCTTGTTTTCTCAAAATTGCATCTATATTGATCTTAAAAGAACCACATTTGGATCTATCAAAGTTGCTTTTGAGACCCGTCACTGTCAGGATCTCCCTGTGTAGCCTTAAAAGGAATAAGAAATGCTAGCAGCTACTATCCGCACATATTCACTATGTCAGTACCTCTACCACAAACTATTACCCGCCAATATCACACATAGATGAGCAACTAGCCACAGAAGGGAGGAAGAAAAAAACAACCACAATTTTGCAGAAAGGCAGGAAATCTGAGATTAAAAATAGATTTGACTACTCAGAAAAATCAGCCAAGAATGAGTGTGTGTTTAAATGTGCTCAGTAAAAATAACAAGTATAGAATGCTCTGAGTGCTCTCCTCCACATCCAATGTATACAAAGTATTCAGTCTCTATGACTATGCCATTACCTCTGAGACACTAAGAATGAACGAGTGGGTGTGAGTAGGCTATGCAGTTCCATGACATCTGATGTGGACTATATGGGGTGACCAAGACACAGAAACAGGAGAGACCACCCAGTACGACTGTTAATTAGGGTTACCTCATGCTCCCTTTTTCCCCTGGAGATGTCTTTATCCCCAGCGCTTAAGTTCATATTCAAGATTCCTTTCAGCTCTGAAACTCAAAGTGAGGAATCTTTGTAAATCCCTAATTATTATGAATCTATGGGGCAAAGCAAAACACTATACAATAACTAGAGATGGCAAAGATAATATCTTGTGAATTTAGTGTCATCATGCAATGTTGATGGGACTCACAGAGACAGGCAATAAGAAGAAACAATAGTGTTGACAAGTGAATCAACAACCAAGGAGCTACCTGAACGGAATCATTGTAGGGTTCATCCCTCTTCTCTGGAATATCAAGATGTTTCTTTCCTCCTGGGTTTCTCCCTCCACAAGACACTCTATTTATGCCCCTTTCTCATCTATAGCTCTTCTTTTTGGTCTTTCAGACACTGTCCCTTGCTGCCATCCATCCTTGTAGGGTTTTTGTAAGAACCTGTAGTACTGTAATAGCTAAGTAAGCATGAGGGATGGGGCTCTAACCCATGTTGTGTTGGCTTACAGCTGAGGTATTTAAATTACTTGTTGCTTTTATAATATATTACCAAATAAAAATGTCATTGAAATACAATGAACTTGGCAATATTTCTAGTATTATCACAGTTTATTTAATAGTAGTAGTTTTTAAAATGAGAACTGCCACAATGACTTAGAATTAGTCAGTCGATAAATATGTCCTCTTCCTTACAATGCATATTGAGTATCCTTTATCCGGAAATACAAAATACTCCAATATTTAAAATTTCCCACATGGGTGGCTGAGCTAGTTATACCTTTGTTTTTATACACAACATTGTTAAAATGATGTGTATAAAATTACATCCAAGCTACAGGTATGTCTATAAGGTGCATATGAAACATAAATGAATTTCATGTTTAGACTTGGCTTCCGTCTCTAAAATATCATTATGCATATGCAAGTATTTCAAAATCTGATAACATTGGAAATGTGGAACATTTCTAGTCCCAATAATTTCAGATCAACCTGTAAATGTGGTAACCCTACTGAAAGATCTCAATTATTAAAAAAAAACAAGAAAGAAATAGTCTTGTTGCCATGTTCAGTTAAGAAAAGGTAAAAGGAGGGGATGGACAAGATGTATTTTTAAAATTTAGGAGTTTTGATGATTGATTGCTGTTATGAGTGCAGATAAAATAGAGAACAGTCTGCTACTATGAACACCTTTTCCACAGGTAAGCATAACAAAGTAATGCATTGAATAAAGACTTTGCAATGTTCCAAAGGGATCCCTTCATCTCAAAACAGGATAACCTGCATAGATAGAGAAGCAAGATATTCCATCAATGTGTGGTATGGCCACAAAACAGGTGGGCCATAAGAGCATTAGACAGTGAAATATATTGATTTTAGCTTTGCTACAACAGGCACGGGCAAACTTTGGCCCTCCAGGCTGTTAGGAATTGTGGGAGTTGAAGTCCAAAACACCTGGAGGGCCAAAGTTTGCCCAGGCCTGAGCTACAACCTTGGAAAAGCCACTCCACCTCAGTTTCTCCGTCTCTGGTATGAAACATAAGCAGCATTTTAAGAACAATTGAAGATTAATGTAATTAGGATAGAAAACATGCTTTAGATGTGATGGTCTTAACCTTTAAATCTTGGAGCAACGACCCTTCTATTCAGGTAGTTATTCAGTAACTATCTGCCAATTATGTTGAAAGGTTTTAAAATGGAGACACTAACATTTTATTTGTTTTTTTTATTATTAACTTGATGTTTTTCTAATTTTGTAATATATTAACCAGTATTGGAAAATATTTAATTTACTGTGTTTTTATTAGACTTTTAAAAATAATATTAGATGCCTTCTTGCATACAAGCCTTTAAGAAAGGGAGGATGTCAATTAAATAAGCAAAGAAATAAAATGCAAAGTATCTCAATATATTGAGATACAACAGGTTTAATTTTGGTTCCTTCTTTCAATTTATGGGAGCATTAAAATGCTAAGGTTTTGCATTGTTAGGCCCTTTTAGGAATATATTACATATGAAGAGACTGCTGAGAACCCAAATAAAATACCTTAACAGCAGGATCATCATGTGGGCAGAAGACTGCCATTTTGAATCCATGTCACTTCTCTCTGTAATTACCTCTGGGCCAAATTTGATGCAGCTGCTGCCAAAAATAACACTCAGCACCCAATTTTCTGTAAATTCTAATAAAATAATTCCATGTCAAAAGAACTGCTGGACTGAATAGTACTTTAGTCTCGACTAGGGTATTCTAAATAAAATATGTTAACAAATATGGGAAACAAATGAATGCCCCACAGACTGGAAATTCATTATGCATTCTATTACCCAACAGAGGGGACACCAGGGATTGCAGTGACCACCAGACTACTGGATGCATGAGAGAAGTAAGAGGTTGATTCAGTTTTTTATGTCATACACCATCTTCCAAAATTATGGTGGGTTGCATAAACCAGTATACATTTGCAAAAGGGGCCTTTATGCCTTTTCCTAACATGGACATCTGGCTTTTCTCACT